TATGTCTATTTTAATAGTTTAAACTTTTAGACAAGGTTGTCTAACATTTTACATTTCATGAAAGTGTTGCAATGGCCATAATTAACATTGGAGCCTTACAATATTTTTCATTTAGGTTGGCAAAACTCTCTGAAGGTCAATTGGTTGATGGGAAACTAGAATGTTTGTGCCATGGTTTGTTAAAATTATGAGTTTGCCAAATCCCAAGTCTAGTGTTGTATTTGGTTGGATTAAAATTAGATTTTTAGTAGATTTTGATAAAAAAAAAAAAAAATGGTAAAATATGTGGTTGGAAAGTTAATACAAGTTGTAAATCTCACAACATGTATTATTAAAAAAAAAAAGAGTTGTAAGAAATGGGGGCCAACAGGACTAATTAACACGATATATTTGTTAAACTTCCATGGCCCTCATTAAACATGAAAATATCGAATCTTTCCTTTTGCTCCACAATAATTTGATTTTGTAAACACCAAATTAAAAGAAGCATGCAGGATTGACTCTCCTAGTTTATAGTACGGCCACCTATAATTTTCCAACCAAGCATCCATCAAGAAGTGAGATGCCCTTATCATCGATTATGTGCTAAGGTGAGAGAGTTGTGTGGGATTCATTATCTAAGAGAAGGCAGTTGGCATCCAAAGAAGAAGTTGGTCGCCCGAGAAAAACCATGGTCGACCACCAAATGATCATCGGCAAAGACACCTAAGGTGACTTGAACTCTATATCAAACCTCGGAGGCTTAGAGGGAGACGAATCAACACCAAACTTTTTTCCTCTATAATTATATTGATATTAAATAAATGTGAAAATACAAGGGAAATAAATAAATTTGTCTTATTATTCTCTACTAAATCTAGTGGAAACAGTTATAGAGGAAAACCACTTCTACTCATTAGTAGGTTTGGGCGTTGGGTGGATTGGTCCAAGTATTTTAATACTCAAATCACAAATTACATTTGAGCATTTTGTAAATGGAATCGTTCAGATCTATTTATTACTCAAATGGGATAATTGTAGCAAAATTTTCAAACCTTTGAAACACTAGCAGATTTTTCCCAAACCTTTGATTTGTTGCAACAGTTACCCCTAACATTTTCAAACGTTGTAAGTGAGGCCCTTTGGATGGTTTCCGTAAAAAATGCCGTCAGTTGACCCAAAAAATTAAAGTCTGGCCATTTTTTACCAATTAAATGAGGATGAAATTGTAACTTTATAATATTACCATATAGAATACAATTAAAAAATCAAAAAAGGAAAATAATGTTTATCTTCTCCCAAAACACCCCACCCCCTCCTCACAAAACCCTGCTAAAATCTCATTCATTTAGAAAACAAATAATTACAATTTTTTCCAATAAGCCTCCCAGAATCACCAAAAAGAAAATGTAGAAATGTGTAGTTAAATACGAGTGATGAGAAACATATACATACCTTTGGAGCTGCTTTACTTTGAAAAGGTGAACAAAGCGAGGTGGATTTACAGGAAAATGAAGAACCAATTTTCATCTTAAATGCCATTCTTCTTTCCACGAGCAAAGAAACAACAGTACCATGCTTGATGCTATTAAGAAGAACCCTTATGATTTTGGGGAAATTCTGAGGAACTCATTTGATGAATTGATAGCAAGTGGGGTGGGTGGTGGAAAAATTGGGAGAATTGAGGTATGGAAAGCTACTTCTTTTGTTCTTTTCTTGATTTTGAAGCAGTTAATTTTTAGTCATTCCAACCAGACTTTACAGATGTTCTTTGTTCATTTTTTTTTTTCACGTGGAAGAAGAGAAGTAGGATCATTTTAGTTCTCTTTTGTCTTCTCAATGGTAATATTATAAAGTTACTATTTTACCCTAATTTAATTGATAAAAATGGTTAGATTTTAATTTTTTGGGTCAATTGACGGCTTTTTTTTTTTTTTTTTTTTTTTTTTTTTTTTTTT